ACATCCGTAAAATTGACCAAAGGTCTTTTTTTCCCCTGTGTCTTACAGGCATAACTACAGTGGTTGTGTACTGGGCTCTGAGCACTTAAAAATGTGGGGAACTAAGGATAATAATAATCACCTTTATTTGCCCAAGTATGTTACACACAACCGATGGTGGCCATCTGCGGTGCCACCTCAACCGATGGCTCTGGCCATCGGCAGACTATTAACTACAAGTTAATAGTCTGCCTAAACACATTCTGTGTTGGCACACAGGGAGCAACAAAAAGGTAATGCTGCTCTGCTAACAGGTAGACAGCTTGTAAGACTTTGTAGTTAGCTCCTGGATAATTTGCATTTATAGTCAGATCAAACCCACAACAAAGCCAATGTGCTTTTGTACTGGTATGTTGATAAAATTAATAGCTTCTATCAATGTTTTTCCTAATTCAGAATTGTTTACATAATGTTGTTAGCAGCCTATGTGCTGTTACCTGATGCAAAAAAGTACACTTATGAAGAAACATTTTCACCGGTTTCGAAAAGAAAAAAAAAAACATGTAGCATCTTTTCCAAAGCAGAACCTCTTGAAAACAAAAATCTATTGTTCAAACTACACAAGATTACAAATCAGACAATATTACCTTCGGTGAAATCGCCTCCCTGGATCATAAAGTTCTTTACAACTCTGTGAAATGTGGAGCCTTTGTAGCACAGCTTTTTCCCTGTGATTCTGCCAGTTCCCCTTTCACCTGCAATTAGATATATGTTAACTAAGCTCTCAGGAAACACATAAGCTACACCACCAGCTGCTTTGAGGTATTAAAAACTGCTGGTCTTGAATATAGAGACTGAGGGTTCAAGACAGGATGCTTTGTTCAGGAATCCTGTAGTTATTTAACAAATCTTAAGCACTGGAGCAATAGTGGCTGGGGACAGAATAATGGCTTAAAGCCATAACACTGTGGATGTCTTTCTCCTGCGGTGATAGAGGACAGTGGACTCACTGTTCAAATGGGGAGCTAGGGTTGCTAATCTGGTATTTTTGCTTCACTGTTCAGGAAAAGGAACAGACTAACCAGCCATCTCCTGTGTATACCCTTGCCAGCATCACGTTCCTAACAGCCAGGTGTGTGAAAAATGAGAGGGCAGATCGACCTGTCGTCCATTTGCAAATTTATGGCCATCCCTAGCAGACCTTCATGACTGCAGTACACTTTGTTCTTCACCGTGGGATGAAATATCTCAGGAAACAGACCAGGAGCCCTTTATCCATCCAGTGACTCCATCTGTCACTGGACCATTTGCACTATAGCCCTTATGGTATTAAATAAGTGAGTGGTATTAAATAACAGAGTGGTGCAGTGTAGTTCTGTGAATTTTTTCTTTTTTCATTTCATCTTATTAATACTCAGTGTGTTTACTTTGCAGAAGACAAAAGGTTAGAGAAAAAAGACAAGCAAAATGCAACAGCAAAAACCCTTTTCTAATATATATTTAGTGCACGCTGTATTATATTTATGACTATACATCATGGGTTTTTTGATCCATCTTTGTGAGGCAGTTTCTTCTTGTTGGGGACAATATGTTCTTTGATTCCTTGTGTGGCCAACTACTGCAGTGAACATATCCTCTTGTTTATCCAGGAACAGAACAGAACAGATTCACAACCAGTTAATTATTGTACAGTATGTACTCTGGCCACATGAGTCACACGTAACCCACAGAGTTCTAGTTTTATGAGAGAAATCAATTCCTCAGCACACAATTTCAAAGTGTGGGAATGGAATTATAATGCTTTGGTTTACAACTATCAGTTATACTTCTGAGATATCTGAAATCTTTGAAACAAATGATTTGGTTATACAACACATAGCATGTTCCAAAAGCATGAAAATACACATTTTTGACTGAACTTTACTCACCAGTGCACAAAGAGAGAAAGTTTTTGCTTGTTTTCGGGCAAACATCCGAAAAAAGCTGGAAGACAATGCGCCCAACTGTAAGACACAAAAGAGGTGGTAAAAGAAGAATTATTTCAGCTTACAGCTTCTAAAAAAGATTTTACAAAATGTTTTAAATGTGTAAAGATAATATACATGTAAGGCTTGTTCAATATTAACTCTAATACAAAAAACAAGTAATGATGGAGGAAAATCATTAACAGGCCATGGATACAATTAAGAATTAAAATAAAGTAGGCTAAATGTTACTACACTGCACACTTTTTATTGGCTTTGACACATAATTACAAGGACCCTGTGGTGAAGATGAGACATTATAAAAATTTTTCCATAGCTCATAGCAGATCCAAAACTATGAGTGTACTAGGTGCTACTTTTGTTCTTCCCTATCTAAATATGCCAATAGCACTTCTAGCCTAAGGCCATTAAAGTGGTCCAAGCCATTTTGCATTCACATCTGCTGTAAGTACATAGTGACTACTAGAAAAATACATAATGCTAATAACTTGTCAGGTGTTAACTTAATCAGACACTGTTACTAACACCAAGTCAGTCTGCCAAGCCCATGTACTACTGAGCATTCCACTTCCATTTTGAACAACCACATGAATCAAAACCTCCAATGCTACAGAAACAAATGATGTGCAGAAAGTCAAAACATCTTTAATGATAATATCAGCTTAAAGAAATAATCTGTAAAAGTGATCCTCATACCTGCAAACTGATACTAAATTCTCCTACCTGGCTCCCGGTTGAGCTCCACATCAAAGTAGCACTGAGGGCGGTCTTTCAAGCCCATTGTGATCAAAGTCTGAGTGACCTAAATTGTGGAAAGAGTAGAAAATAACAGGGATGTGTTCTCTTAAAAGAAGCAGTAAACACAACATTCAGGATCCATTTGTATCTGTTAGTTCTCAGACCAGAAAGGGCAACACACAGAGAAGAGTGTGCCAGGAAATAATGTACTATACATACTAAAGGCAGTGAGGGAGGATTAAAACACAAAGAGGAAGAGAGAGAATGATGGGAGGAGAGACAGAAAAGTCCATGGGGAAAGTACTGGCTATGCAAATCCAACAGAGCACAGCAGATTTTTTTCATGAAGGTAATTAAAATAACACAATTTCTATTTTTAAATACCCTGGGACACCGTAATACCATATTACCACCCAACAGTAGAGTGAACAGAAATTGCACATATTTAAACTAGTGTGAAACTTTACATTAACTAAGACAATGCACCATAAGTCCTGTATATGAGATGGAGTGTGCAAATCACACGTATTGAATATGATCTTCATAGAGACACAGCATCAGCATGCACCTGAGGATCTATGATATATTTTTTTGCCAGTGCCAGTTTGTTCTCCAGACTGCCTAGAATAAATGTATTGATAAATAAGAAATGCTTTTGCTTTAAAACTTTGTGCAAAGCATCTTTCCATTTACAGTGTAATCCCAGGTGCCGGTAGCCATTTAGTTTGAACATGTTTGAATATAAAGTGGACAAGTGACTATTACAACAATGTAAGTACACACTAAGAACAGCAGCTTAACTAACAATGTGTACCTTTGTTCAGTGATTAAAGAAACAATGACATCAATTTAAACCATCTTTCCAAACACTACCTCAACATTTTCAATGAAAGTGTTCTTCTATTGTTGAGAAGAGCAGCTAAACAATATTTTCAGTTTGTGCACAAAAATATAAGTACACCATCCTTAATTATAACTACAGTATATGTAAATATTTAGTCTGCCAACAGTCTGTGTGGGTGAGTGACAAATCAGACTCACAGTAGTGACTGACTTGTCAAACATACTGCAAATGATGTGCTGCTAATGAAAATTTGATACTGCAAGAAATCACATGATTCCTCTATAGCTTATCATTAGTCTCGATGTATTAAAGTGTTTTGTTTTTCTAATAACTTGTATAATGTGGGTTGCTTACTGTTCAAACAAATGCTGTGTCACTGTGCTGACATGTACAGTAGTTATCACCTCACATGGTGGGTACATGTGAGGTGATAGGAAATTGTTTTGCATGCACTAGACTAACATCCGGAACTGTGAGAAGGCATTTAATTTCATTACATGAAAAAAAAAAAACATTAGTACAGTAACAGAAAGGAACACGCTCTATTAGAAGGGTATGAGCCACCTTTTCTGGTGGAATATACCGATCAACTTCTGTGAAATTGTACATCAGAGCATGAGCAACAACAAAAGCATGGCAGTTACAGCTGAAGTGCGACTCTAGCTAAGAATTAAATATATATTTATGATTATGATCTGGAGTGTGAATTCATGGCGATACCTGAATCTCGTAATTATGAGAAAGTAAATCATAATCACGAGACAAGATACTTGATTGTTTGGGTGAATTCAATGCGCTACTACTTTGCATTTAGGTGAACAGAAAAACTGGACATGGCTCGTCAAGACTTTACAGGTATTTGTTAGATCAACTGCATGTAACGTGAGCTACGTGCTATGTATGGCATTCAGACCACGTTAGCAAATAACCCTGATAAACTATCTAAAAAAAGCAATATTTTCAATTCAAACCAGGAACCGCTGATCAACACATTCGACGTATATTATATCAACAATGGCCACATTCATTAGCTAGCTAAATACAACGCATGTTTAACTTATAGCCAGGCGTTGTATTGTTGAAAATGAACTTAGTAACGTTACTAGGGTCAAGATATGCTGACAGCAATTAAACAACACATATCCAATGGCTACACATTGGCTAAGGTTAGCGCTTCGCTGAGCTAGCTAATAGCTAGTAGCTAGCGATGGCTACAGTTACCGAGCTTCTATTACATTCCATTCGACTGCAATTACTATCAACATTAAACATTACAATCTAAATCACACAAACAAAAGTATAAATGATATAACTAACCTCTGTAAATTTGCTATCCACTTAATTACCTAGTCACTGCTGGCCGACAATTAGCATGTGTTACCCTCTGTTTTTGTGAACGTTGGTGTGCCAGGAAAAAACCGAAACTGCTTAGGAGCAGATTTGTCCCTCCGTTGTTTCCGTAGAAGATTTGTTGTGGTTTTGTTGTATCAGAAAGCAGAATCCAAGTTAGCTCGTGGCTAATCTTGAATAAGTTTTATGTAGCGTATGTAACTGACTGTTTTCTGTATTAGTCGCTACTAAGATCAAGTTCGATTGCAGGAGTAACTCATAATTGAAAGTATGCCTGGCTGCTTGATTGAGGTGTCTCTGTCTGATATAATGCTGTAACGTTAAGCAGTTAACATATTGTAGCTAAATAAAAAGGTGCGGCATGGAACCCATGATAATGAGGTAAGGTGCACGTACGAATATATAAATTACGTTAGACTGAAATTATCACGATTATCATGTAACACAGTTTTCAACTCTACGCAGTTAAAAATTTCCACTCAGTTGCCAGTGTATAATGCACACCAGCCAAACTGAAGGCAGTCTAAACAATTATACTGAATCTCTGTAAAAAATTCCTACTACAATATATGATGCTTGGGAAATGTTAAGTTAACTTTAAGGTCATTCTGGGAGCTGTAGTTTGTAATGCTGCTGAGTTAAAATTGTACCCTACTGATAACAGGTAGCCTATATTTAAGCAACACCTCAGAATAACACAGCACAGTTAAACACCACCACAAGCCTTAAGACGATCATAAAATTGAATCAACACTTTTTATAGTGACCTATTTCAAGGAAACAAAACCCCCCAAAGGTACATCCTTAGTTGTAAATAATTGTTGCTGATGATCTGTTTTTGTTAACCCCATGCAGGCAGTGTGTTCTTCATGGACCCATTGGATCATGTCTCTGATCCTGTTTGCCTTTGTGGTTCGGGTCAGGGATGGACTCCCCCTGTCAGCCTCCACAGACTTTGAACACAACCGGGAACTCCAGGAGAGGAAGCAGCAGCTCAGGACCATCAGCAAGGCACTCGCTCGCTTCCCTGACAGAGGGACCGTCAAGGGCCAGGAGCTCAACATATAGTAAGGATTCAGGAGGATTCTAGAGCTGCATAAAGACACAGTGCACAGCCTAAAGCCACTCGTTATGTAGTTGACTTTGTGCTGCAGAAGATGGATAGTATGTTGTGCATTTCTTGACAGGGACATCCATGTCACGCTGTGTCAGGCTATTTGTTTAATAAATACCTGTCCTCCCCTTACCTGTTCAGCTTCGTGTGTACAGAGGGTGTATCCTACTTGACTGTGTGCCACTGCAGCCTCCCTGTTGCTAAGGCCTTCTGCTTCCTAGAAGATCTGCGCTGGGAGTTCACAGCATGTTTTAGTAGTGCTGTTGTTGCCTTGGCAGCAAGACCATATCCATTTTTGGAATTTGGTGAGTAGGAGGAGGAATATTGTCATCTAAGTTTGCTGTTGATATTTTGAGATAGCAAAAGAATGTATATTGAATGAGAAACAAAGCTCCTGTCTTGTTTATTTAATGGATTCTCTAAATCCTTTTCTTTTGCTGCCAACTGATAGACAGCACCATTCAGAAGCTGAAGCAGCAGTACAACCAGAGCGGTGGTCCAGCCTTAGAGGTGACATTGGCAGAAGTCCAAGAGGATCTGAGGATTCATCCACCACAAGTAATTAAGTTGGAAGAGGTGGAGCTCACTAATGGTGCTGCAAATGGGTATATGGAGCAAGGTCCTGGATCTGGTAAGACATTTACATTCTAATATGTACAGTAAAATAAAGTGCCTCCTGCCTTTGACAGCACTGTAAAATGTATTTACTGGTTCATTATTTACGCCAAGGTAATCTACAAATTATCGATAGTTAACGTAGGTTTGAAAATGTTTGATTATTTTACATTACTTATGTGGTTACTTTATTTTGTTTAACAGGTCATAATGTAAGATTGAAACCGGTTACAGCACCAGGCATCCTTTCTCTGGTCCTAAATATTATGTGTGCATCTTTGAACTTAATCCGTGGCATACACCTCATAGAGTACACATTCCAGGTATGGCAATGCGCCAATGTGGTAGAAACGTATATAATCATTGCTGAATCACTGTTAAAGTTTTGTTTTTAATGTGCAATCAGTGTGGTACATTTTAAAGGCAGGCATTTACCTGAATGAAAAATAACCTTATTGTTTAGCTTTATTTCATTTCTCTGTACACAGGATGACTTTGAAGGCATATGGAACGTTGTGACATTTCTACTGGCATTTGTCTGTTGTGTGTTTCAGGTAAATGCAGTTCACATGCTTGACACACTACTGTTTTCTAAATACGTTTCTAGCTAGGATTACACATTTCCTTGCAAGGTTGATAGAAGTAAGCTCTTTTCGATAAATATTTTGTATAACAAAAATTCTGTGTGCGCACAGTGCCACCTCTACTTGTTCCACTCTTCTCTGAAGAAACTGAAGTCCTTCACTCTGTTGAGTGTGATTGTCCTATGCAACTTGTATCTGCTCGGCATGAGGAACTTGTGGCAGCTGATGTTCCACGTTTCAGTCGCCTCCCTCTCCACTGTCCTTATCCTCACCCGCAAACTCCAAGACAGAAGCAGTGACTGTGGGGTGTAAGGAGCAGAGAATGTTTTATTGTGTTGCACCTCTTCCAGACCTTTGTTTCTGCACCTCCAGTGCAGGTGAGAACAACTGGGGAGCAACTGACTGAGCAAATGAGTTATGAGGCTTTCATGTCGATTTTTAACAAAAAAAAATTGTCATAAATTTTTGTCATTGTGGAAAAATATTATTACAAATTACTGTGTTTTTGTACATAGTATGTACTTGCATTTTGTGTACATTGTTGCCAATACTATAAAGAGTGTACAGTGAAATGCGGTTATTTCTGGATCCTTAAAAATATGTGGCTAAACTCAAAATAACACTGACATGAAGGAGATGATTATTTAAGATAGAGAAATCTTTATCTCAGTCAGACCTGCCATCTCCAAAAAAGCTTTTAAAGTAGATGACAGAGTTTTTTTGTTTCCAGTCATAGTCGTCGACTCAAGTTTTCACTTAGAAACAGTAACGTTGGAGAAGCTGGTTATGCTTGCGGTTGTATAATTTAGATGCATTTCTGCTCACATTTAACTCAGTATTATTTCTACTACCGCAGGCCATTGATTATCTCTACATAAATCATTTACAGCTCTACTTGACACACAAGGCTGATTAGGAGAAGAAGGTAGCCTGCCTTGCTTTGGTGGCAGTGTGATATTTAAACTGTTTTGTGTAGTAATTAAATGATGAATGTCAGGAAAGTGGACAGTGCAGTTGTTTTTATTTTTTTATTATTTGTTTATGGGGCTGTAATAAAAATCTAATTCAAATACACAGATGTAAAGCTATGGATTGTTTAAAGCCTTAGTGTGTGACAGTGTAAACATTGTTTTCACTAATTTAACATCATCATCTGAGCTACTCAGCTTCACAGAAATGACATTCTATACTGAGAGGAATAAGTCTGTTAAGGCATCTTATAATTTAATCACAGTTTTTGATTAAAGTAGAATGTTAAGTGTAATCTCCCTTTTCAACTTATTTTGTCCAATAAAACAAATTAAAGACATTATAGTTACAATTTTCTCTGTATTGTCAAAGCTGCGGGGTAGGAATATGAAGCACTGATTTGATGTGGCTGCAGTATCAAGTGTAGATATTTTTGTGTTTGTTAATCATTTAAAAAAGCTAGTTTCAGCCTGCAGTTGACAAAGTTTACAAAGAGTGGGAAAATTCTAATGTTTTCACTGGAAGGATAAAACATAGAGCAGTTACACAGGTGAATCTTCTTTTAGTGAATTGACGTTTGATTCCTCATTATGTGGTCCTGTCAAGAACTGTGGTTCAGTGCTGGCAATAAGACTGACTCTGTTGTTTAAATGAGCTTTTCTTTGACAGGGTTGATAGTTTTCATATACAGTAAATAAGTGACATTGTTTTTGTTTGTTATGCTGCATGGCATTTTCCGTACTAGACATTGGTATTACTATAATATTTTCCTACAGAGGAGGTTTTACCGACTCACTATGTCCACTGTAAACTATAAGAATTACACTGTTGACCAAATTAATTGTAAGCAAAGTTGTGTTTAATGTTTATAGGATTTAGAACCAGATAACATGGAGAATATTTGATCACTTAAACTGAAGACAAAGGACACTTGTGGTCAGCATGAAGGTTTTAACAGAATAGAAATGCACACTACAGTTGAAATCTGGCAGCTTTCTGTTTTTTATTTACTGGTATCAGAAGTCTGAAAACCATTCAGGTTCAGAAGGGTGACGTGAAGTAAATTGTGTCAGTTTTTAGGATGCCTCTTGTTTAATACGGGTCCTGTTAGTGAGTCCACTGTTTGTATGGTTTTTGTGGCTGCGGCGTGTTAATGACGATGGGAATCAATGTAACAGTCATGCCTGGTCACTGGTGATTACAGGGCTTTATTTTGTCCTGATGTGGTAAAATAAAAATGTCCTTAATAAATAAGTGTCTTGTTTTCAATCTGTTGGTGTTTGATTTGCATGTGCAATGACCAGACAAGACCAATTTGATAATTATATCATTACCTTGATTATTTGACTGATTTCCTCTGTAAAATATGTCCATATGCTACATCAAGATAAGAGTTTTAATGCTAGAAGCTGCAAATTAGAACACACATATAAATGAATTGCACTTTTTCTTTTTGCATTGTAACAGAAGGTGGTGCTCTTTCCCCACCTAGAAATCTTGATGCTCCTTTTCATCTGTGTTGCTTTCAACAGATATTTTTGTCTGCCCAGTTAAATATGATTATAGTTGAGAGGATATATCAAAGTAGGCTTTACCACTAATCCTCAGCAATCTTACATTAGGCCAAATAAATTTTACTGATGAAACCTAAGTGCTTGTATAAGAGCAAAGTTACTCAAAAACATGGCAAAGGTATGGTGGCACTTTTCTCAAGCTTTTGGTTTTATTTTAAAACCATGAAACAGACCTAGGAGACAAAGAGACTTAAATTAGGCTGACGTCACAGGTCTGCACAGCATGTAAGATTCAGCAACAGCACAGATTTACAAACAATGCTCACATCATTACCCAACAGGTCCAGTTCTTTGGAGGTTTTTAAACCACTGTTAATGAAGGATTATATCTGCTCATAGCAACAGCGTCTTTTAACAGTAGTATGTCCCAGCATTTATAATGATCAGTTGTTTCAGTGTCTTTGTATGTGGTCCATGTGTGATTGTCGCTGGCGTGAGTTAGCTCTATGTAACAGCTCCAGTCTATCAGGAAGTTTCACAATGCTGCAAAACCTCATATGGCACTGTTGCATCCTTCTGATGGTTCACTTAACCTGGAAATCAAACAGTGCTCAGTTTTGGCTATATAACCAGCATTACAACCAGAACACTTGAACTGGTATCCTTAAGATTTTGTATTTCCATAAAGCTGATAAAATAAATAGAATATTTTGTCCCGCATGAGTCTTATTTTAAAATGTGGACATCTCAGTATTATAATTGAAAGTCAGATCTATGAAAAATATACAGTAGGATACTAGAATTAGCTGAAGAATCATATGTAAACTTGAGCTGTAAATGAAGTTCATTTAGACAACCCAGCCTTCTGGTTTAGCAGAGACTTAATAGCTCCTCTTTAAAGTCTTGTAACTGTTTGTTAAAACTCAGTAGTTTTGTTGGAGACAGCCAGTCCAAGAGGTGATCTCAAACCCATCTGTTTGAATGTAGCATTATTAATGCAGGAGAAAGCTGTTTGAGTATATGTTTCTTTAATGAGCTTTTCCAGTCAATTTTTCCTAATGTCTTTTAATGCACGTGTAACCTCTGGCCAGTTTGTCTAATGAGTCTGTGATTATTCAGAACCATGCCTGGCAGGAAAGGTCACAAAAGGTGAGAATAAACGGCACAGCATGCTAAATTCTTTTATTAGATGACACGTTTTAGCAATTGTGAGAATAGACAAATTGTTCCTCTAGAACAGCTTGACCCCAATTTACATAGTTCACATTGAAAATTAAACAGTGGGAACAGTGCCTTCAAGTGGCTTTTTTGTTTTTTTTTTACTTAATTGAGACCCTGAATCAACAGTAAGGTTTGTGTGTTCACTTAAAGCCCAGACAGATGTCTACATTCTCATTTGACTGCAGTTAGCTTCTATGGGTTCCTGCTCATAATTATTTCAGACAGAGAAGCCTGTAGACATTGTGTGGAAACCTTCCTTCTTTGAGACATTTTTTTTCATGTGGCTAAAGTAGCTGTAGCTTTCTCTCAGGTAAATGTCTTATAAATCAACAGGGTCGCTTTGGCTTTGATAAAATTTATAATTAAAAGGGAAGCTTTTTACTTTTGTTTTGTCAGGGCATTTTTTGACATGGTCAGTTGCTGTAGGTGACAAAGTGGCAACAAGTTGTAAATGTTGTAAATATTCTTGTTGGGTTCAACTCATAGAGCCATTCATACATTTTTAAGATCCTCAGGGATTTAATTAAATCTTTGTTCTGCACAACACTCCACATCAGTGGAGTCAGATATAAAATAGCCATTCATGACCTAATACCTAAACCTATATGACCGCAGCTTCCAATAATGTCACAAATAATCAGTTACATTTCTGGAGGTGTCCGTAAAACTGTCCCGTAAAAATTTGACTTATTATGTTGTTTACTTGCCACTAAGATATAAATAGTTGCCATTAGTAGTAAAGGATGCAGTGTTTGCCAGCATTTTCATTACATTTGAAATTTGAGGTTGCAACCCAGAAATAACGAACATCTCCCTCAGAGCTTGTGAAACACCTTATAGATCCACAGCTCAATCAGTCCTGCTACAATACATCTAAATTAACTGGTCAGGTTGAGATGTGATCCTCGTTTGCAGGAATTAACCTTTTATCCTAATTGGCAGAAGCTCTAGCTGCTGAGAAGCTGTCCCCTCTCCCTTAACTAATAGGCTTAACAGCATGGGTGGTCCTGCGGAAATGTTTATGACGTGCATTTCTTTAACTCATAAACAAATGCCTCCTCTTCTCCTACATGTTCTCAGAACAGCAGCACTTCCAATTTCATAAATGCCAGTCTAATCAGCTCTGAATAATACTAGAGATCACAGCAGATAGGCCTAACATACACAGATGAGTCAATCCATTATTCATTGTCACTGTGCAAGAGTTGCAAAGCTGTTAAATCTGCATCCTTGTCAAACATTTGACAAAAGCGGACACAGGCTTATTTTAATAAAATAACATTCAATGTCTAGTTGTCTGCAGCACGCCTTTAGACTGAGAGTGTGTGAAAACTAGTTAGCAAGCTTGGGCAGAGCCAATCTGATTGGCCAGCATTGGTGCCGTCCCTGCCAGAGCCGAAATATGATGCTTTTCAGTATAAATGAATGAAAACATGATATTTGCATTAATTTCTCCATTGGTATTGTTGTGCAGTGCTTGGCATGATTCACCTCAGTGAAGTGGGGGACCACTGTGCAGCAACGATGTCCTCGGCCAGGAGCGCAGCCAAAGTTAGCTAAAGAAAGCGCTGTGTGTCTCATTTTTACACAGAATAAACACTAAATTTTTTAAATTATGTATGTGTGGTTTATTAATTCATAAAACTAGGTTCTCTCTGAGTCTATGTTCCAGCCTGGCCACCCAGTCCAAAATGGTCTAGATACACCCCTATTAGCAAGAGGTCTTAACAGTTAGGAAAATTTAGTTGCAAGTAGGCTAATGTGGAGCATTAAATACATCTCGCTATCTATTTAATGCAGTATTTAAAGGGTTAAAATAGTTAGCTAAAGGTAATTGGTAAATAAACATAGCTATCCAAATGGTTAAACAGTTAAATAGGTCAGTAAATGTAATAGATAAATGGCTGAAGTAGGAGACTAAAACCACTGTTGATTAATCTGACCATGGCTGTGGTGGCAGTCTCTTCTCTTTTAATGCAGTCTCCTGGATTACTCTCAGACTATATAAAATTACACTGGCGTTTGATTTTATGATTTATGATATACTTTAGCGATTTCCATTCATTTTAAATGGATCATTCAGTGCCACCAGAGCAGCAGCATCTCTGTGGAGGTCTTCAATATCAGAATTGAGTTATTAGTTTTTTCTCCTCTTTCTGTGGGGGCCCACATTTATGAACCACAAATCTGTTGCTGATTTATCTGGGTGATTAGTAGACAGATGCCACAGACACATTAAACCTGCATTATTTGGGACATATGGTGGAGAGAAGCTCCACCATATGTCCCAACTCTGTCAAATGATCAGCTTTTATACTAACATGGCAAACCTGTTAGCAGACAGTTGTTTATTATCCTAAATGTGGTTTGAGGTGTTTTCTGTTGAAAGGAACAACCTGTTATTTAGCCCAAAAACCTTCAATATTTTTGCACCCTTTAGATGCTGAGCTTTCATAACTGTGGCAGAAATAATGGCTAAGCTTTTACATTCTCAGTGTGTGCCAGGTGCGATGTTTTTATTCCCACTCCGGTACCCAATAATACTTTATAAGGCTGTACAGTATGTTTCTTGTCTATTAGGATGTTCAACAGTACATAATCCCAGAGCATAAATGTAAATGTCTTTAAATACCTTTAATTTCTATAAAGGTTTCCTCCATAATTCAGTTGAATTATTCATTTTCCTGTCACCCAAGTCATATCTGCTTATGATGAGAATTCAGAGATGACCTGAAATTGACACTGCTGTCCAACACTAACTGCTCATGTGAGAGTTATCTACTGCACAGGAATATTAGAGGGGAAATGAGGTGAAGTCAAAGTCAAGACTGTTTCCATAAGTATTATTGTAGGACTCAGTTCAGTTTAAACAGATATATATTTATACATCATCTTTCAGTTTTAGGTTTAGTGGTTTCACCATACCAGATGTATGAAATACCAGTATTTTATTTATGAAAATACTTCATAAAGCCTCCACATAGCATAGCAAATTCCTAAAGTGTTGCATCTGTTACCAGTACATGCAACAGTATAGAAAGTCAGACATTTTTTTCTGTCATTATCATTAGTTAATCCAAAGATATTGTTTAACTAGGTCAGTGTTTATTTAAGTTTTGTGGCAACAGTATATACATAATATGCAATGTGTAGTGTAAAAGGCATAAATGACTTTGGTACTGGTCAATTTACTATAAAAACTCTTTTCCCATTAAATTATTATTAGTTACAGTATGCTGGAGTCACAAGAGGTTTGCAACCTGTGCTGTGGTAATAATTAGGTTTTAGATATCTGCAGAAACGGAGTAGCCACATGTTGCCAGTTAAGGTTCAAAAACAGTCAGTGAGATAAGTGGTTTTAAAATACCCTGCTCTCCAAACTCATGTAAGAGCACTCCCAGTCAAATCATCCCAGACCTAAATACAGTGAGATCGCTTAATCCAGATGAGTACTTTAAATACTATACAAATCATGTTTTCCTGAATTTCCTCATTTCCTAACTGAATTATATCTTAATGCCAAGAGTGTGAACAAGCATCCTGTCATTGTATAATTGTGTGAAACTATTTCTCAGGCTTGTTTACACCCTGGTTAAACATTAATCAAAGTCTGTTGCTCTTTGACAGGTTCTTCTGTGTGTTGGCAGTGATAGATCACTATAGTGTGTGTGGGTAGTGACAGATCACTTTCTGTACATGTAAGTGCATGTATTAGAACAATGACTTCTACTAAACAGTGGTGTGCATGTACCTTATCAAGCTCAGAGTGGCACCATTAGAATATTCCACCAATGGGGTCAAAGGGCAAAAGAAAATAAAATTCTCCTTAATATTTGACTCTAATACATTCTAATAAATGTTCTAATGTGTTCCTAACAACAGCTTGTTCCTAACCTTGTCTGTCTGCTGTTTGGTGCTGGGAAAGTAACAGCGTGTCAATTTGTCACAGCTTTTTCACAGCCTAGAAAATAATTGATGAGAGCAATAAGACTTACATATCGATTGACAGCCTTGAGTCCCCATGCCCCTGACTTTCTCTGATTGTGCCTTGCTCAACGCCTTTGGGGATATCTCTGCTGCTAGGCTGGTCAATCGGTCTGGACCACAGGCACCTTTGACAGCATAAGATCACCTCAAAAGATTTGATGCACTGTTATAGTATAAACTACACAGCTCTATACTGTATACAGTTAATACAGTATAACAGCAGTATAACAGCAAATCTCTTCTATAAATGATGCATGAGTAAAAAGTCTGAACTGTTTTTTCATCAGTTAAAAATGAACTCTCAGTCCAGTTTCTCCCAGTGCCAGCTGCACTCCTGTTTCTTTATTTGAAAGGTATGACTGACCTGCTGAGTTTGTTTTGATGTAATGAAACTCCAGCTATTTGAGCTAATCCATATGTTGTCCCCTCAGGTTTTGTGGTTCCCTTGTTGCCTTTGGGCGCAGCAGTCCTCTCGCTGTGCTCAGCACCGTGAAGTAGGAAGAACTTTGCCAAGGTAAGAGGCTGTGTGCTGCAAAAAGATAAACAAACACACTCTGCCATACCTGGTTTCTCAGATCAGCTGCTTTTGGGTCTAATGTTTCATTAGTTCTATCCATGAAGTGGAAATGCATATAATATGATTAACTATTCATAGAAATGAGCAATTAAAAGGATTTCCAGGAGTGAAGCTAACTGCATGAAATTGCATGCACATATGTTAAAAACCTTGGGGCCCAAGAGTATATCAAATATACAAAATATGCTTTGTTGTATATTCTGCAATCAAATTATACATTATTTTGTTCTGGTCTTATGTACTGTGAACATGTCAGACATTTCAAAAATACATTATTAGCTGTCAGAATTCATGATTCAGTTGGATGCAGAAATAAAGAAGATAGATGGAGTTATTTTCAGATTCACAGTGTTTCTTAAAATGCAAGACAAGTTTCTTGCCTTTAAGGATTTTTCATTATTCATGACATCAGTTAAATGTTCATGCACAAGTAAGGGAAAATTTGGAAAAGCAAGTGACTGAGCAAAAGAGTGAGCTCTCTCCAAACTCTTGTGATCACCTCTGCTGCCATCTGAAAAAATGACTCATGATTTAAAGAGATGTCAACTGCCAAATCTGATCTGATCTGTGCCTGTTTTGTTTGCTCACTTTCAGAGGAAGGCTGTAGGAATCAGCGATTTTATGTCAATATATTACCTTTGTGTTTGGGTTGACTCTAGTACCTAGTTGTAATGCCACTTACCACTTGAATGAATGAATAATGACAAAGGCAGCACTTTCTCATCCACACAGTCTCACAGGGAAGATATACATGCTTATCTTTTTTATTCTTTGCATCTTTGCATATAACAGAGAATGTAAAAACAAACTTATCTAGAACTTTATGAACATTTCATAAATTGGCATACCAACCACTATTCCCAACCAGTTCCAGCTGGTATTCAAAACCAAAATGACCCTAGACAAACTGACCAAAATTAATCTAAAGGTGTTCTGTCAGGCTTTATGGACATACAGTAAGACAGTGTATCATTCCTGAAAATATACTGCACTTTGTTGAAAATGTAACAAAATAGCATTATACATAAAACCTCTGTTCTAAAATTGCAACTCTCTGGTCTAAACTTCAACATTCAAACCTCTACAAGTTGTGGACCACAAAAACAAAAGAATTTTACTCTTATATTTATATGTTTTACGTAGTAATTCGGGAGGGTGTTGCAACTGTTCATGGTAATGAGCTTATTTAAAAAAAAATCTGCTAATGATGAGATAAGGTATATTTAAACACACTGAAGCAAAATATGACTTGCAATTTTACATAATTTCTATGGAAATTTGAACTTCCACCTCTATCAAAACATATTTAAAGTACTAAAAGTAAAAGTACTCATTATGCAGAATGGCACATTTCACATTCCTGTATATCATATTACTGTATTATATTTACTTATGCATATTGTGTACATCACATTTAATGTTGCAGCTGGTAGAGGGGGAGCTGGTTTTAATGCATTTAATTTGAATTCGTACTGGGTAGCTTGTGAATTTCCACCATAGATCAATAAGGTCTTATTATTATACTGTATTTTTTGTATTTATCGGGTTATGAAAAGTAACTAAAGTTATAAAATAAATGTAGTGGAGCAAAAGTACAATATTTGCCTCTAAAATGTAGTGAGGTCAAAGTATGAAGTAACAGAAAATGAAAATACTCAAGTAAAAATTGTACTTAAGTACAGAACTTGAGAAAATGTATTTTGTCACTTTCCAACAATAACTCTTTACACATACAATAAAAAATCAATATACCAAACATTTTAAAACTAAAACTGTACATAGATGTGACTTTAAGCTAATAAATACAGTACATTTGTAGCTTCACAATGGTTTGCACTGAACCAGTGTTACATGCATTGCACTAACACCAAACCAATAACTCATAAATCTTATATACACAGAATCCAGTTTGCAAATAAGCAAATCCATATTACACATACACATATGTAAAATACTAAATAGTTAGTGTGAACATACCGAGCAACAGCTGTGACAGAATTTTAAAATACGCTATACAGTACAGTAGGCTGCACAAATCCATTTACATTCACCATTACAAGTGGTACACCATTGTCAAATTCACACACTACCTTTCAAAGCTCTGGACACACTTTCCCATTCAAATTAATGGGAAAGGGTGTCACAACATTTGACTGGTATTGTACATTAAACTTTAACAACAAATGACAGGCAAAAACTATGTTAGACATTTTGAGGAATACTCTGGTAGTAAATATGAACCTACAATAGATATTATCTGGTGAGTTTAGCTTATCATAAAGACTGGCAACAAGGGAAAATAGAGCAGCTCTGTGCAACGGTAAAAAAAAAAAAAATTCACATGTATTTTAATTGTTTAATCTGCACAAAAGCCACAGTGTAATAACAATAAAGTTGCTGGTTTACAGCGTGGTTATGTGCTAAATGCTGCTCTTGACCAGGAGAAATTAGCTTCCTGACCATAAAACTTCACAAGAAAAAGGCTGAATGTGTTAATGGGCTTGAGAGGTGCTGGTACTATAGGTGGGTTTTGTTACTTTCAGTCAGACCCAGAGCAGTTGTTTCCCCATTTCTAGTCTTTGTGCTAAGCTAAGCTAACAGGTTACTATATCAGACATGAAAGAGGTATCAATCTTTTTGTCCAACTCTCTGCAGGAA